TTTCTGGATAATGTATGACAGAGGTGGGTTTCACATAATTTTACCACCGGTTTGCCACACACCAAAAATGTGAGCGCACGCGCCTTCAGCACATGTGCGTGGCCTTCCACGCATGTGCTTTGCTCACACGCTTGGCTTGTGTTGTGATCCAGGCCCAAGTAGGTAGTAATCGACGCAAACAGTTCCAAAACAAACAGACTTTATTAGAACAGCTGAGAATTAACTCATTCTCAGCGTAGTCCAAACTAAATTAAAACAAATTCTTCTTAACACAAATTCTTCAGTCTAATCACCAACCTTGGTATAATTAGGCAAACTGCCAAAGGCTTCTCTTGGCAAAAGTTCAGAAGCAGAAGATGCCGACCAGAGATAAGTGCAGCAAAACTATCAACGTTGTTTTCCGACAAAGAGCCCAAGAGCCGTTGCTGGTCTTTTAAGCCTTATGGGAGGGGCCAATCATTTATTGGCCCTACTCTCGAGTCATCCTCTTTGCTGTAGCTGCTCCTGCCTTCTGGCAGCTCTTCTCATACGTGCACTAGGAACAGATTCCTCCTGTTCCTCTGCCTCTCTACTGTCAGCCTCTGGAGGCTCCGAAGTCCGCACATCACTCCCCGATGGCCCTGGCCCCATCTCTGCCTCCGACGCAGAGCCCTCATCTGGGCCTTCCCCAGCCTCCAGGACTGGCCCACGTTCTTCCTCAGCCTCATCACTCTCTGACTCTGCTGCCAGCTCCGCAGGCTGCTGGTGGACCACAACAGCTTGAATGCATGTGCACGGCTTAGAAAACATAGCTAAATAGGAGGGCATAGCGCCGGGGTCAGGGCACAGGTCGCCACTACCGGTTTGGCCGAACCGGCTGAATATCACCACTGATGTATGAAATCATTTTTGATTGCATTCACATTTGGGAGCTTTGGCATTCAAAGCAGTCTTGTTGATGACGGTGCTGTCCATTCAATCGCATCCGAGCCTTGGTGATTCTATGAACTCAAATTTCTCTACATTTTCCAAATTTGTGCAACTTCTTTCAGTCGTTTTATGTTCTGGCTGGTGTCAGCTTTGATGGAGTCTAGCTGCTGTGTTTTTTGGCGGCCTCATTTCCTTTTACCACTGACCATTCCAAGCATAAATTTTCCAGCGAGTTTGATTGCATGACATGGCCAAAATAAGTAAGGTGGAATTTTCTGATTTTGCCTTCCAACGAATATGCCTATTTTTATATGCTCTATTTGACACGGAGCTAAATTCATGACGTATCTGTCTACACCCTTATTCTCACTTCTTAGAAGTCACATACCTTCTTTCAGGAGCTGCTGCAGCTACAATGAGCCACCAGTACTTTACGTAAGGATACCTTCCTGGACAGTAAACTGTTTGCGGTCCTCAGTATATTCCTGAGTCTCTTGGAAAGAAAGATCACTCGTTGTGAAAAGAAAAATCACTCCTCGTGAAAGATCAAGAGAAGTGATACTACTGCTTTATAATGCCTTGCTAAGACCACACTTGGAATACTGCATCCAATTTTGGTCTCTACAATATAAAAAAGTTGTTGAGACTCTGGAAAGAGTTCAGTGAAGAGCGACAAAGATAATTGGGAGGTGGGCTGAAGGCGAAAACATAGGAAGAACATTTGCAGGAATTGGGTATGTCTAGTCTAGTGAATATCTAGGGATGTGGTGGCTCAGTGGCTAAGATGCTGAGCTTGTCGATCAAAAGGTTGGCAGTTCAGGGGTTCGAATCCCTAGTGCCGCGTAACGGGGTGAGCTCTCGTTACTTGTCCCAGCTTCTGCCAACCTAGCAGTTCGAAAACACGTAATGCAAATGCAAGTAGGAAAATAGGGACCACCTTTGGTGGGAAGGTTCTGTGTGCCTTTGGCATTTAGTCATGCTGGCCACATGACCATGGAGACGTCTTTGGACAGCGCTGGCTCTTCAGCTTTGAGACGGAGATGAGCACTTCCTCCTAGAGTTGGGAAAGACTAGCACACATGTGCGAGGGGAACCTTTACCTTTAGTCTAGTGAAAAGAAGGACTAGGGGGTGACATGACAGCAATGTTCCAATACTTTAGGGGCTGCCATAAAGACAAGGGGGTCAACCTATTTTCCAAAGCACCTGAAGTCAGAACAAGAAGCAATGTATGGAAACTAATCAGGGAGAGAAGCAATCTAGAACTAAGGGGAAATTTCCTGACAGTAAGAACAATCAAGCAGTGGAACAACTTGCCTCCAGAAGTTGTGGATGCTCTATCACCGGAGACTTTTAAAGGACTCGACAACCATTTGTCTAAAATGGTATAGGGTCTCCTACTTGAGGAGGGGGTTGGACTAGAATAGAATGGAGGTGGAAGGGACCTTGGAGGTCTTCTAGTCCAACCCCCTGTTCAAGCTAGAGACCCTATAATATTTCAGACAGGTGGCTAGAAGTCCTCCAAGGACTTCCAACTCTGTTATTTTGCTATAAAGAATAAGGAGGGCATCCTAATCAGGCTGGGACAACATAGCTTTGCCATGATAGTTTATTTCCTGGCATGACTTCTCAATTCAACTACCTTAGTTCTGAATTCTGGCTTCAACCCCTCAACACTCATGTCTGGCTCTTGGTTATTGGCTGGTTCTTTGACAGCTGTCTATGACTAAGCTCTAATCATTCTCAACAAGAGTTGGCTTATCCTGTAGATCTCAGCTTGCTGGATTTGGCCTGCGAAAGGTTCAGCTCAAGTACAAATATTCCAAATATGAGGGTGATCACATGACCATCTCACAGGTAATAAATGCATCCTTGAAAGCAACAAGAGGGAAGAAGGAACAGGGAAATAAGAAATAGAATATGTTAGAACCAGCCTCCTATGGAGGATATGAACAACATTAGGCAATTAGTCTGAATTTATAGTATGGCCAAAATTGTGGAAACCTTTTGGGAAAAGTGTATTTTCTAAAACTAGCTAATAACACTGCTTTTTTTTGGGGGGGGACTAGTACCATAAAATTATATATCAATGGAAAGGTAATTTAATCAAGAATGTAATGCAATAACTTTTATGAAAGATTTGCTATTTGAATAGCAGTTACAGTATAAAGAAGAAAAGTGAAACATGTAGATATACAAAAATGATCACCATAGAAAAAAATGAGATATACAAAAATGATCACCATGTCAGTTAATATTTAGTTGGGTAACCTTTAGCATGAATTACGGCCTTACAACATCTTCCCATGGAGTGAGCCAAGTCTTTTAGTTCTGCAGCTGTTATAATATGAAACCAAGATTGAAGGATTGCTTCTATTAACTGGGTTTCATTGCTGGGTTGCTTCTGACTAACAAGTTTCTTTAGTCGGCTCCATAGATTTTTAATTGGGTTAAGGTCTGGGCTATTCCCAGGCCATTCCAGCAGTGGAATAGGATTATCTTGAAACTCCCCCCAAAAAGTGGTGTTATTAGCCATCAAACCTCAAAAATACACTTTCCCCAAAAGGTTTCCACAATTTTGGCCACTACCGTAGCTGTATTGTTTAGTGAACAGGACCAAGCAGAGATGATTCATCTCCCTTTCTACTCAGACTTTCAAATGTGGTTCTTCTTATCACCTGTAACTCTTTCTCTCAAGTAAAAAATCTCTGTGTTGATAGACATCTAGAAGTCCACCATGGTTAATTGCAGTTCTTCAGGGTAAAATGTCAGCAATTTAGTGCTTCAAAGGCCAAGCATAATCAGAAGAGTTGGAAGGATCTTGTAGATCAACAGATTAATTTTTTTGTTCAGCTTAGATAACCTGGAATAAAAGCTTTCCTGTGATTTTCAGCAACTACTTGACGATCTTCAGCAAAGGCAATCCACCTATTTATTTTTATTTTATTTATTTAGTTTGTCAAGCTTGTAGAAGATAACAGATATAAGTATAAACATGATTATGAATACAGGAAATGGGTACGAATAAATGGGGACAGTGGGACAGGGATGGTAGGCAAGTTGGTGCACTTATGCACGTCCCCTTACAGAACTCTTAGGAATGGGGTGAGGTCAATAGTAGACAGTCCAAGGTTAAAGTTTTGGGGATTTGGGGAAGAAACCACAGAGTCAGGTAGTGCATTCCAGGCATTGTACTATACTTAGGTCAGACCATAGGCGGCATAGTTCTAAATTGCCTAAGCTCAAAATTGCAAGCCAGGTGGCATAAGAGATTCTGTTGTGAGCACAGGAATGGAGGACTCTTCTCGTGAAATATCTCTGGACTCTCTCAATTGAATTAATGTCGGATATGCAGTGCATATATATATATATATATATATATATACAGTATATATATATATATTTGCAAATGGGCTTCTTGTATGGATTGTTTGGAGGCTTTAGGGCTGAAAGGTCAGGAGATCACTATAAATAAGCAAAGAAACAAATCTATTTAGAATTAAGTTCCACTGCACTTAACAAGGTTTATTCACCGATAGGTGTGTATATAGGATTGTATCCTGAGAGGTTCTTCGTTATTATTCCTGTTATCAACTGTTTTGTAAATGAATAAAACGCATAGCTGGAACTGCTTCAAAAGTCTGCCTTTGAAGTTGAAAATTGTCAAGTATTTGCAAGCCATTGGCACATGTGTCATATAAACACCAGTGGAGGCAGAGAGTGTCTCCACCCCTATGTGGAAAAGAGGGGCTTACCCTGAGTATAAAACCCCCTCCAACCTTTTCCACCCCGCTCTCTCCATCTCTCTCTCTTCATGTTTGTTCCTCATGAGACTTGATCTCTGTTGTACATAGTTAATATGATTTATCATATGAATAAATACGTTTAAGACATTTATTTATGCATCTGCCTCTGAACTCTTCTATGCTCCTGGGTGTTTCTACGATCCCAATTCCACAAAATCAATCCAAGCAAATGGATATTTGGGAAGCATTTTGGCTGCAACAACCAAATTGTCTCTATGTAACAGTTTAAATTATTTTTTAAAAAAAACTGTTGAGATTAAAGGATAGTTTTTTTTTCTTCTGGCAGGATTTGTGTGGGGCTACCACCTGTGACACCCTGGGAATGGCGGATGTCGGCACCATGTGTGACCCCAAACGCAGTTGCTCCGTCATTGAGGACGATGGTCTTCCTTCTGCTTTTACTACAGCTCATGAGCTAGGTAAGGATTTCGATCCTAGGTAGAGGATTTCTCTCTCTGGGCACCATGAGAATATATCTGCTGAATATAACTCTGCATTGGCAACAGGAAGGGCATCCAGCCAGTAAACACTCAGCTCCAGTCCAGTTGCCCAGACTCCATCCCGCAAGGGATTATGGGGCTGTTAAAAGAAGATGATGAGCTAGGTAAGGAATGGCTTCCAAAAAGGAGAGAAAGATTAGAAGAAAAGATTTAAGAAGAACATCTAAAGCTCATTTAGAAACTTTTGGCCAATCACCTGGAGTCTGTGATTTATTAGTCCCACCTTAGGTATGAAAGATGGATGGATGATTTTGGGCCAATCACCAGGAGACTGGGAGTTCTAGTCCTGCCTTAGTCATGAATGACAAACTGGTGACTTTGAGCTAATCTTCAGGAGACTCTAAATTCTAATCCCACTTTAAGCCTGAAAGTTAGCTGGGTGGTTTTGAGCCAATCACTCTTTCTCAGTCCAACCTGGGTTACAGGGTTTGTTGCTGTGTGGAAAATAGGAGGAGGAAGGAGTATTAATTATGTTCGTCACCTCGAGTTATTTATAAAAATAATAAAGGTCGGGTAAGAATAAATTCTAAGAAAATAAAAAAAGAAACTTCTGAAGATTACAAAGACCTCCTCACCTTCAGAGATACCAGGCTTGTAATCAGTGGTGGGATTCAAATAATTTAACAACCGGTTCTCTGCCCTAATGATTTCTTCCAACAACCAGTTCGCCAAACTGCTCAGAAAGTTAACAACCGGTTCTCCGGAAGTGGTGCAAACTGGCTGAATCCCACCATTGCTTGTAATCCAAAACTATTTGGGGCATTTCAGTTCTATGATTTATGTGGTGGTCATCTACAGTTAGAAAAGGAAAAAATGGGAAATTAGGAACTGGGAGAACCCAGATCTCCAGAAGATGGTTCGAAGTCAGCCTGTTTAGCCTTCGAATCCAGCAGCATCAAAATCATTTGCAGCTTGTGCTTTGCATCTGCCTGGTTTCACATGCTCTCCTTCCCATGTCTGGCAGACTATTCTTGGCCAGAAATTTCAATCCATCAGCCAGTGACTTTGGAAGTGGTCACTTAACCCAAGCCACAGGCCAGAGGCAGAGCCCACACCTGTGGTTGACACCTGCCAAACAGATTTTGCCAAGGAAACGGAGGGAAGGCTGTGTGTGTGGATTGAATCCATTTTTAACAGACGAATTCTCTCTCTAATTAGGGAAAGAAAGCTTAACGTTTAAAATAAATCTCAGTACTTGGTTCAGGAAGTCTTGACAATGGCAAAAGTTTAAGAATAGTTTTGTGGGAAACGCAGCCTTGTAAATGAATGTGCGTATATATGTTTGTGGAGGAAAAAAAGAGAGCAACAGCCTGCAATTTTATTCCCTGCGCCACGGGGAAAGGCTCAGTTGGAAGCTGCTGGAGAACAGCTGTTCGAAAGTGAAGGAATCCCAAGCGGAGGAGGACTCCTCGTTGCTGGCTGCTCTGTTCCCAGGCTTTAGAGATCCTGAAATAATATATAATTTGCTGGGATGCGTTAGACACACACCTCGATCCAGAGCGCCAGAGCGTCTCCTGAAGTGACAACCAAACGGCCTGGTCCTCATTTAGAGAGCAGAAAAGAGGATTTGGGGTTTAGAGGATCAAATCATTCCGATTCAAAATAGCTCCCAAACTTAGAAATGGTTTCTTCACTGCAAATTAGATTCCTCTGGGCTGGGATAGACCAGCTCCATGGCAAGGCCCTTTTGCTGTCTTTTGATGGTTCCCTTCAGGGTTGGGGGCACTTTTATCTGAGAGTGACCCATGCTGGATTAAATTCAGCTGCATTGTCTTGTAGGACAACCTCTTCACAGAGTCAACGATCACTGTGAGCAAGAGATATCATGTAATGTCTGAATAAAGCCAACCAACCAAAAAATTGTGAAGACTGTACATTTTTTATTATCCTGTCTCTAGACCAAGGGTGTCCAATTTTGGCCCTTTGGGCCAATCACAGGAGACTGTGAGTTCTAGTCCGACCTTAGATATGAAAGACAGCTGGATGACTTTGGGTCGATCACCGGGAGACTGTGAGTTCTAGTCCCACCTTAGGTATGAAAGAGAGCTGGCTACTTTGGGCCAATCACAAGAGACTGTGAATTCTAGTCCCACCTTAGGTATGAAAGACAGCTGGATGACTTTGGGCCAATCACAAGAGACTGTGAGTTCTAGTCTCACTTCAGGCATGAAAGACAGCTGGATGACTTTGGGCCAATCACAAGAGACTGTGAGTTCTAGTCCCACCTTAGGTATGAAAGAGAGCTGGCTGACTTTGGGCCAATCACAAGAGACTGTGAGTTCTAGTCCCACCTTAGTATGAAAGAGAGCTGGCTGACTTTGGGCCGATCACGGGACACTGTGAGTTCTAGTCCCACTTAGGTATGAAAGACGGCTGGATGACTTTGGGCCAATCACAAGAGACTGTGAGTTCTAGTCCCACTTCAGGCATGAAAGAGAGCTGGATGACTTTGGGCCAATCACAAGAGACTGTGAGTTCTAGTCCCACCTTAGGTATGAAAGAGAGCTGGCTGACTTTGGGCCAATCATCAGAAGACTATGAGTTCTAGTCCCACCTTAGGCATGAAAGAGAGCTGGCTGACTTTGGGCCAATCACAAGAGACTGTGAGCTCTAGTCCCACTTTAGGCATGAAAGAGAGCTGGATGACTTTGGGCCGATCACCAGGAGACTGTGAGTTCTAGTCCCACCTTAGGCATGAAAGAGAGCTGGATGACTTTGGGCCAATTGTCAGGAGATCATGAGTTCTAATCCCACTTTAGGAATAAAAGATGACTGGGTGACTTTGGTTCAGTCACTCTGCAGACCCTGCACTTGTGGAAAAACATGGACAAGAAGGAAAAAAAATGGCTCCCAAAGGCAACTTCTCAGTCCCAGTGAGAAGCAGAATGCTTGGGTGAGATAGCTTATCACTTAATTTAGCAGGAGGACAGTCAATATTCTGAAATTACAATAAACAAATACAGTTCCTTTCTGGCCTAATTTAACTAGAGGTTCTTCCGCTAGTCCCAGTATGCCTATGGCCTTCTTTCAGATGTTCCACCCAGAGTAGCTAGGAGTTTGAATAAGGAATTCTCTTTTTTTCTCTCTCCTCCCTGGTTTCTCATTTTTTCCCCTCCTCAAGACATTCGAAAGGACAAGTATCTGCACACATAGTAAATGGTGTGAGTCTTGGCAAAGAAAACTGCTGGCTTGCAGGTCTTGCTGGCAGGAATTGCACGCTGCATCTGTTGTAAATTTATTGGCCTTTGAGGGACAACCTGATTAGAACATGAGAAGGAAGATGTTTGTGGATCTAGGAAAGGGAATGCAGACTTACAACAGTTTTGCTACAGGCCCTATTCTAAAGCCGTATGCAACAGAGGTCACCTCGTTCATGGATTGTGGAAGGAAAAGCAAAGAGGAGGCGGAGGACACACAAATGAAACCTTGATGAAACCTCCAGACCATGCCAAGTCCAACAGATTTGTCTTGTGGCTTGTTCAGGTCTTGATATCTGGTGTCCATTCTGTTGCCTGGGCAGCATAAAAGAGACTTCCTTTTAAACCCCTTAATGACTCCTTCCATAATATATATCAGGGGTCTCCAACCGTGGCAACTTTAAGACTTCAACTCCCAGAATTCCTCAGCCAGCTTTGCTGTCCACAACAAGCAAAGCTGGCCAAGGAATTCTGGGAGTTGAAGTCCATAAGTCTTAAAGTTGCCAAGGTTGGAGACCCCTGATATATATGAATGGGTTGAATCTGACCAGTTGTTCAGATAAGAAAATTGGTTTAATCCAGGGGTGTCAAACTCACTTTCATTGAGGGCTGTATCAGGGTTGTGTTTGACCTTGAGGGGCCCAGGGTAGGCGTGGCCAGGGTGGGCATGGCCAGCTTGATGTCACTCATGTCAGGGGTGCCTGTGGCGGCCAGAGCGCTCTGCCAGGGAAAACTGGTAACCCTCTGCCAGCAAAAACGGAGCTCGGGAGGGCCACTCACAGCCCTCCTGAGCTCCATTTTCTCTGGCAGAGGCACCGGAGGCCAGTCCTTCGCTGTTTCCAGGGCAGGCCAGATCTAAGCACTCCGTGGGCTGCATCCGGCCCCCAGGCCTTGAGTTTGACACCCCCGGTTTAATCAATAACCAAATTAACCATGATTGAGAACACAAGCACTGTTCTTGAATGAGAAGGAGTCAAGTTTACCATCTTCTATTTTGCATAAAGAAAACAAAAAAGGTTTCAGAAAGAGGAAACAGCATGTGGGAAGGAGAAACTAACAAACGCTTCTATTCATTGCTAATTTCATTTCTCAGGAAGTGCCAGAATGCTGCCTGCAATTTTCAAACCACAACTCTCTCTTTCTAGGACATGTGTTCAACATGCCCCATGATAACGTGAAGGCTTGTGAAGAAGTCTTTGGCAAACTGAAGACCAACCATATGATGTCTCCCACTCTCATCCAAATTGACCGTATCAACCCATGGTCACCTTGTAGTACGGCCATCATCACTGACTTCCTGGACAGCGGACATGGTGAGGAGTGGGAGAGGAGGTAGATACATGAAAGAGAGATGGCGGTTAGAGACTACGGATGTGTAGCTGGAAACAGGCTGGTAAATAATACCCTTGTCACCGAAATGGAGGTGGACAAGTCAGAATTGTAGCTGTGAAATAATACCTACTTTGTTGTTGTTGTTAGTTGCAAAGTCGTGTCCAACCCATCGCGACCCCATGGACAACTATCCTCCAGGCCTTCCTGTCCTCTACCATCCCCCAGAGTCCATTTAAGCTCACTTAAGTCACTTGCTTCAGTGACTCCATCCAGCCACCTCGTTCTCTGTCATCCCATACTTCTTTTGCCCTCAAGAGCCCATTAGGCTCTTCTCCAGTGAGTTCTTCCTTCTCATGAGGTGTCCAAAGTATTTGAGTTTCATCTTCAGGATCTGGCCTTCTAAAGAGCAGTCAGGGTTGATCTCTTCTAGGACTGCTGGTTTGATCGCCTTGCAGTCCAAGGGACTCGCAGGAGTCTTCTTCAGCACCATAGTTCAAAGGCCTCAATTCGTTGGCACTCAGCCTTCCTTATGGTCCAACTTTCACAGCCATACTTTGCAACTGGGAAAACCAAAGCCTTGATACCTACTTAGGAGAAAGGAAAGAGGTTCAACTCCCAAAGCTATCTTTTCTCACCTTGATTTACTTTGGAATAGTACATTCTTGTGATTAGTCACTGCTGACTTTTACAGAAGTATATTATAATACACACTTCTTGCCTCAGATGATCACAGTTTATGATACTTCTTGGTGGCAATGAGTCTCAGCCGAAGTACATGTGACAAAGGCTACCCAGTGGAGTTCACCTTTTTTTATAGTGTGCTGATGTGGAATTTCGGGACAAATCTTGGAGTTTACTTTTATTCTGGAGCATCAAGCAAAACTCTGTGGGATTCTCCAAAACTTAAAAGCCTCAAAACATGAGCAGACACTGTAGTCAAGATATAATCTAGATATACTGTATCATCCTTTGTTCATCAGTAATGGATCTCCTGTTGCAGTCCAGAGCTGGTGACGTAATACTTTTTCAAATTGGTTCCATGTACTGTATTAAGCTGGCTTTTGTTCTAACAATGGTTTGTTAATAAGTCACAATGGGTTTACACTGAATACAAAGCCATAAACCATAGTTTTTAAAACACTAGACCAGTAGTGGGTTTCAATTACCTTTGCTACTGTTTCGCAAATGTGAGTGCGCACATGTGCAGAGCATCCGTGATGACATCTGGGCAGGTGGGCGGAGCCACCCGCCGCTGCTACCGGTTTGCCTGAACCGGGTAGAACTGTAGAAACTCACCACTGCACTAGACACTGCTAAGTCAAAACTAGGCCAACCTCCTTAAGACTCAGGGTGATATGAGCCATGGTGGCACAGTAGTTAGAATGCAGTATTGCAGGCTACTTTTGCTGACTGCCAGCAGTTCAGCAGTTCGATCCTGACCGGCTCAAAGTTGACTCAGCCTTCCATCCTTCCAAGGGCGGTAAAATAAGGACCCCGATTGTTGGGGGCAATAAGCTGACTCTGTAAGCTGCTCAGAGAGAGCTGTAAAACACTGTGAGGCTGTATATAAGTGTAAGTGCTCTTGCTACATGCAAGCACAGTATTAGACTGTGACATTATTAAATCCCGGTTTGAAATTACTAAAAAAAAATCCCTTTAATTTGAATAATCATTTTGCTACCGAATACCCCTGAAATGTTAAGATTCTTCCTTTAATTAAAAGAGAGAGAGAGAGAAAGAGACAAATCTTTTTGGAGAAAGGGAAACTAAATCTTTCATCAAGATTTTTGTTAGCATCTCAGATAGTTTCTGCACATTTTGAATGCTTGATCTTATGCTATCAAGATGTTTATGTGAATCAACTCTTAGGAGTATAGAGCAACGGAGCCCCTTAGAGAAGCTAAACCTGGAGGGTGTCGGAGATTCTTAAAACCAGCTGTCTAGAAAAATAGAATCATCACCCGATCAAGCTCTTTTGGCTCACTCCTCTACTTTTACTAAACAATTTACACTCGGAAAGCTGTAAATCATTAGGAATGCTAAGGCTGAATCTAATTTGGAACACCCATTTTAGAAGGATCTGGAACTGTATGGCAGCAGGTCAACTGTACTCTTCCTTGCCTAAAGATTTTTTTTCTTTTTTAAAAATGGGATTTATATCAGGTTTCTGTGCCAACCTCCACCCTATATATCCAAATCAGTTCACAGTTTAAAGATGTACCGTATTTTTCAGACTATAAGATGCTCCGAAGTATAAGACGCACCTAGCTTTTGGGGAGGAAATCAAGGGGGAAAAATCTGCCTCTGCCTCCCAGCAATTTACCACTTTGCAGCAAACAGCCTGGTCAGCTTCAGCACAGCCTGATTTAGCACGAACAGCTGATTGGCAGTTGGATTGGCCTCCTGGAATACCGCCTATCAGCTGTTCCAGGCTGCAGGGATCGCCACCGCCCATCACCGTTGCTGCCTATTGCCGCCTCTGCACACTCCATTTTCGGCCTCTGCATGTCCCATTTTCAGCCTCTGTGCACCCTGTTTTTGGCCTCTGCGCATCCCATTTTTGGCCCATTCCAGGCAGTGGGGATCGCTGCTTCCGCCTATCCCCATCGTCTGGAACTGGCCAAAAACGGGACGCGCAGAGGATAAAAATGGGGTGTGTGGAGGTGGCAATAGGCTGCAGCAGCGATGGGTGGCGGCGACGGGTGGTGGCGATCCCTGCAGCCTGGAACAGCTGATAGGCGGTATTCCGGGAGGCCAATCCAACTGCCAATCAGCTGCTCGTGCTTAATCAGGCTGTGCTGAAGCTGACAAGGCTGTTTGCTGTTTGCTGCAAGGAGGTAAATTGCTGGAAGGCAGAGGCTGAAGAGTGGGAGCTGGCGGGTGGGCAGGGCTTCGGCAACATTCGCTGTATAAGACGCACAGACATTTCCACCCACTTTTTTTGGGGAAAAGTATGTCTTATACACCGAAAAATACGGTAAATCCTAATCACTTGGTTTTCACCTCTGTCACCACTGTGACTAATATCAGTAACAAAGAAAGAGAAATCGTCCTGATGCTACAGAGCCATAGTATCAACCCAGAAGTTGGCTGAACTGAGGCCATTTTTTATTTTCCTGCTTCAGTGCTGTCACATACTGGAGCTGAGGGATAGGGAGGGTGGGATAGAGATAGCTGGGGTGCTGTAGCCAAAACAAAATGCTTTCCCTTGGGAACCAAGGACATTACCGCAGGTGTTCAGAAGGAGGAGACTGAGGTCATCCAGCAACTGGACTGTATGCTGATTGCACCATGTGACTAAGGATTTGAGAAAACTTTCACTTTTAATTGGGTGGAAACCGTGGAAACTTTTAGAGTCGGTTTTCACCAGATCTGTGCCAATATAATTCCAATAAAGCTATTCCTTGAGGACTTTACCTGCCTCAGAGTTTTGCTTGATATGGGGTTATTACTTGGAACCCTGACACATAGTTGCTCAGTGGTTAGAACACAGTATTGCAGGCTGACTCTGCCCACTACCAAGAGTTTGATCCTGACTGGCTCAAAGTTGACCCAGCCTTCCATCCTTCCGAGGTCAGTAAAATGAGGACTCCGATTGTTGGGGGCAATAGGCTGACATTTGTAAACTGCTCAGAGAGTGTTGTAAAGTACCATGAAGTAGTATATAAGTGTAAGTGCTATTGCTAATGGATGGATCCCTTAGGATGACCTCCCATTGTATTCCTCTGTCTTCTCTCAGGTGATTGCCTCTTGGACCAACCCACCAAGCCGATCTCCTTGCCTCAAGAGCTTCCCGGTTCCATGTACAATCTCAATCAGCAGTGTGAGCTGGCCTTTGGCATTGGCTCCAAGCCTTGCCCGTACATGCAATACTGCACCAAGCTTTGGTGCACCGGGAAGGCTCGCGGTCACATCATGTGCCAGACCCGTCACTTCCCTTGGGCTGATGGCACCAGCTGTGGAGAAGGGAGGTTCTGCATGAAAGGTGTCTGTGTCGAGAGGCATAACATCAGTAAGTACCGGGTGAGTATTGTTGGCTCTTCAGGTGGAGAACAGCCCAACGGCTGAGGTTCTATAGTTCAGGCCACAGATACACTCTCGCATGCGCAAACAAAACAGAACAAAGAATATGCTAAGTAGGCAACTCAACATAATTCAATCCAGGCATGCAGAATTTAGAATTTTGGAAGCATCTAAATTAACTATTGTACTCCACATGGATTTGGATAGTCGTACTCATATTCTCCTGAGTCATTGCTGATTTGCTTTGTTATGCTTTGGTTTAATCCACTTAAGAAAATTGCAGAGATCTGCACGAGCAGTTGATTTAATTGCTTGTTAGTTTCCACAGCGAGTCAGCTCTTTCAAAATGCCAGAGAGAAAAATGATTCCTAATCGGATGATTATTAAAAATGCTGAAAAAGCATTGTGCGCCGCATTTCGTGGTCCCAGCTAGCCAATGCATTGTGTTCCTTGAGGAAAAAAAAAAATAGGGACGGCATCTTTGTGAGTTTTTGTATCTGCTCAGTGTTTTATGCCCTGATAGGTGGATGGCAACTGGGGAAAGTGGGCACCTTATGGATCCTGTTCGAGGACGTGCGGTGGAGGTGTCCAGTTGGCGAAACGTCAATGCAACAATCCCCCTCCAGCCAATGAAGGGAAGTATTGCGAAGGCGTTCGAGTTAAATATCGCTCCTGCGGTTTGGATCCCTGCTTTGCTTCAGGTGAGATTTAATGAAGGTGCCAAATGCAGCACTGTCATGATCATTCCTTTGGAGGGAGACCACGATTAGACTTGGTTTTGGTCCAGGAGTTAAGGCATCAGATGTCTGGGTGACTTTGGGTCAATCACCAGGAGATGGTGAGTTCTAGTTCCACCTTAAGCATGAAAGCTGCATGGGTGACTTTGGGCCAAACACCAGGAGATGGTGAGTTCTGGTCCCACCTTAGGAAAGAAAGACACTGGGTGACTTTTAGCCGATTGCCAGGAGTTCTAGTCCTACTTTAAAGCATGAAAGCTGGCTGGGTGACTTTTTGCTGGTCACTCTTTCTCAGCCCAAATCACTTGCAGAGTTGTTGTTGTGGGACAATAGGAGAAGGAAGGAGATATTAGGTGAGGCATTAGGCATGTTGTGAGTATTAGGTATGTGAGGAGGAAGGAGGTATTAGATAACTCACCATCTTGAATTATTTATAAAAATAAAAGCAGGATATAAAAAATCTGGCCATTATGGAGAGAAAATGTTCTGCTGTTTTGGATTTCCTCCTCTGCTTCATGTTCAAGTCCCATATTTATGAACGTGTGCAATGTTGTCTGAAGATTCCACTAGATCAGTGTTTCTCAACCTTGGAAGCTTGAAGATGGCTGGACTTCAACTCCCAGAATCCCCCAGCCAGCGCTGCTTCAAGCTTCCAAGGTTGAGAAACACTGCACTAGATGGTCCCTCTATTTGTGATGGTAGGAACCAGCTCCTAAATTCATTTCTGAAACTGATTTCTCATAGTTCCAGGGAAGAGTTTCCGGGAAGAACAATGTGAGGCTTTCAATGGCTACAACCACAGCACAAATCGGCTCACTGCCATTGTTTCTTGGGTCCCCAAATATTCTGGGGTGTCTCCCCGGGATAAGTGCAAACTCATCTGTCGAGCCAATGGAACTGGCTACTTTTATGTTTTAGCCCCAAAGGTAAGCTGGATTTTCTTCTTCTTCTTCTTCTTCTTCTTCTTCTTCTTCTTCTTCTTCTTTCTCTCTTCTTCTTCTTCTTCTTCTTCTTCTTCTTCCTTCTTCTTCTTCTTCTTCTTCTTCTTCTTCTTCTTCTTCTTCTTCTCCTTCTCCTTCTCCTTCTCCTTCTCCTTCTCCTTCTCCTTCTCCTTCTCCTTCTCCTTCTCCTTCTTCTATTTAGAGAAAAAGAGAAATTGTAAAGGGATGTTTGTTGAAGGGCAATTGATTAAAGTTATTTAGATTTTCCCTGGAAACAGATAAGTTCCATAATTTATTTAGGTTTTAGAGGTTTTTAATTGTATTGCTAGGGGTTTTAAATTGGGGTGGCCATTTAATTTAATTTATTCTTAATTATTTTAACTTTTATACTGCATGTTATTTTAACTCTCGGCTGTTCACCACCCTGAGTCCCTTCGGGGAGAAGGGCGGGATATAAATTTAATAAATTTATTTATTTAATTTTATTTACATTAAACGTTGACAAATGATTGTCTTTCCTTTGTTCTTTATTTGGATTCATTAAACCTACAAATGTACTCAATGATAATACTACACTTCTGTTCACAATTATTTGTGTAATGTTTGCAATCACATTTTGCTGAAAAGCAGAGCCTTGGTTTTTAATTGGAGCCACGGACAATTCTGTGATAAAATAGTTGGCTTACAACCAGAGATGAAATCCAGCAGGTTCTAGAGAACCGATAGCGGAAATTTTGAATAGTTCGGAGAACCGGCAAATGCCACCTCCGGCTGGCCCCAGAGTGGGGTGGGAATGGAGATTTTGCAGTATCCTTCCCTTGCCACACCCACCAAGCCACGCCCACCAAGCCACGCCCACAGAACTAGTAGTAAAAATAATTGGATTTCACCACTGCTTACAACCATAATTGAGCCTGGAATTACAATCACAAGTTGCTGCAGTTGTGACCAGACCCTATTTTTTTTTTGACATTTTTTGTAGTGGTTCTTCAGTGAACATCCATGGCTATTAAATGAACGCCATGGTTGTTAAGCAGCTCAATTTTCCCACGTAATATATTTTGCTAGAAACTGGAAGGAAATGCTGGAAACCAGCAAAAAAACATTGCAAATTGCAGGGCGAGCCAGTTGCCAAGGGCCCATAATGTGATCATTTGACTGGGGGATATTTATGACCATGAAAACAGGTTGTTAAGTAGCTTTTTTGGGGGGTCGAGGATCCATCACAACTTTAAACAGTCGTTAAGTGACTGGACGTAAGTCAAGAACTACCTGTGTTACAGCGCAGCTAGAATGCTACTCGGAATCATTTTGGCGGTTTTGAATCTTCATCCTTGTTCCACTTCCAAATGGTCCCCAAGATCTCAGTAATATCTTTTTTTTAAAAAAATCAAGATTCATGTACAGGTATTCATCATACATGGGGCATGGTGGCTCAATGGCTAAGACGCTGAGCTTGTCGATCGAAAGGTCGGCAGTTCAGCGGTTCGAATCCCTAGTGCCGCATAACGGGGTGAGCTCCCGTGACTTGTCCCAGCTTCTGCCAACCTAGCAGTTCGAAAGCAGGTAAAAAATGCAAGTAGAAAAACAGGGACCACCTTTGGTGGGAAGGCAACAGCGTTCCGTGCGCCTTTGGCGTTGAGTCATGCCAGCCACATGACCATGGTGATGTCTTCAGAGAGCGCTGGCTCTTCGGCTTTGAAACGGAGATGAGCACTGCCCCCTAGAGTCGGGAACGACTAGCACATATGTGCGAGGGGAACTTTCACCTTTACCTTTATTCATCATACATAGCACTGCAGAATATTCAACCACATGACAATTGGGGCAATTAGATTCTATGGGCAGAGCAAAGGATAACATTTCCTTTGCTAGGACCATGGGCAGGGATGACTGATGATTACTTGGTTTCAAAACAAATGGATACGGCTCAATATTCCACCCTCTCTAGTTTTGACTAAAGCAGCACTGGATTCTAGTCTTACCTTTCTGATTTCCAGGTGGTGGACGGTACACCGTGTTCTCCAGACTCGAGTTCGCTATGCGTCCAGGGGAAATGTATCAAAGCTGGGTGCGATGGGAAACTTGGCTCCAAAAAGAAATTTGACAAGTGCGGCGTGTGTGGAGGAGACAACAAAAGCTGCAAAAAAGTTTCAGGCTTGTTCACCAAACCCATGTGAGTGTTTTGACCTCCTTAAAATGCAGGAAGCAGGAATTGGTCCTGGCAAAACCTCTTTTATTTGCACAATTGTGAATTACATTCATTCACAGTCAGCAAGGTTTGTCCAAACAGTTTTTCAAAGAAATATTTATCAACACAGACCTTATCTCGCTTGGCAAGCTGCCACGTAACTTGTTTCCAAATGCAGAGTAAGGCAAAACCTGGCACAGAGTCTCTTAGAGTCACGAACAGGACTTTCCACTCTTGAAACTACCGAACGAATGAATTGTTTCCTGCAAAAGCCCCCTCCCCGTTCGCTCCTCTTTTGTTTCCTATGTGAGGGGCCAATCATCTCCAAGGTGTGGCTTTACTCCCAAGACGACCCTGCTTTCTGAGTTGTTCTTGTCTTCTGACAGCTCTGTGCATACGCACACTGGGAACGGGCTCCAGCTGTTCCTCTGCCTCACTGCTGTCTATCTCCCTCTCTGCCTCCAATGCAGAGCCTTCGTCCGAGCTTTCCCCAGCCCCCAGGACTGGCCCATGTTTCTCCCCAACCTTCTCACTGTCTGACTCTGCTGCCAGCTATGCTGGCTGCTGGCAGGCCACAACAGTGAGTGAACTTTAGGTAGAGTCATTGAAAGGCCACCATAAAGACTGAATGGATATAGCTGGACCAGTGCCCTGATTCAGTGCAAGGCCATGTTTTGCTAGATCTGTATCAGAGGCTTAACTGAATGACTGAATCAACCCATCTTCTTGGTCCTTTCGATATACTGAATCATAAATTAATGGGCTATGTTCGTGCCATACCCTTCTGAGAGAACAAACCAGACATTTGAGGAAAATGAACACATCATTTTTGTGGCAGAAGCCTAGTGTGTTAACAGTCTTCAGAATTTGCCAGTACTGGCCACAGTGCTGGAACTTATAGCACCCATAGCTCAAAATCCATTCTCCATGCTTAAATCTATTAAATCAGCTGAAATTTGTGGTCCCGTATAGGGACGCTGCATGAGTTCACCTGCTTTGGATCATTGTCTTACCTTTGCAACCCTTTGTCAGGCCTGGAAGCCATCTTTTGCATTAGGCCTTCAGACCTGCCCACGTGGGAACCTGGGAGGGGGGATTGTATGGAGCAGGGATGATATATAGTCATAATAACATTCTTTTCTCAGAAAGTCAAGGTCAACTTGCCGTGCATCTGGAAGGCTGGAACTGGGAGGCATCTCCAGCTGGGACGATGTTTGATTAGACCATGTGATGGACTTGTGGGTGATGGGCAGGGGCTTGAATTTTTCTTTGGATGGGGAATTTTTCTTTGGGGGGTGTTACTTGGAACCCTGACACCCTTGTTGTTTTGGCCAACACAAGTCTTGTGTTGAGTCTTCGGAGAGGGGCAGCATATAAATTGAATTAATTAAATTAAATTAATTAAATTAAGTATCTTGTAGGTGAATATGCTAACCCATATTAATGCTTTCTTCTACCTTTTGTGTTGAGGAATTCGCAGAGCAACCCTAGAGTAGCAAGGGTGTGCACATGAAAGCGACGGAGAGCAGTTGCCGATAAACACAGCCAACACACAGATACACTGAGTTGTGTTTACTTTTAGGAAATAGCAATAAGGCACAGTCCAATAAACAGTCCAGGTCATACACAGATAAAGCAGTAGATAGTAAAACAATAGTCCAGGAATATTCTAATAACAAAGTCTTCTTACCAGTCATTGTAGTCATACACATTAAAAACAGTAGCAAACAGTAGCAAACACAGCAAAGAGCAGTACAGAGCAGTAACGATCAGCAAAAGCAATAATGATCAGCAAAGAGAAGACAAACCATGTTTCAAGCTCTCTCTTAAGGACATTGGCTACAGAGCTAATCAATCAGGACACAGTATGATGCAATACAGCAATACAGTCTTAAAGCTATATTGAGGTTTATATATTGCCAACCCAACAAGTTAGGTAATTAACATTTCCTAACGTTTTGTCTTTCTTCTAGGCATGGCTACAACTTTGTGGTGCTCCTCCCAGCTGGTGCCTCCAGCATTGACATCCGTCAGAGAGGCTACAAGGGTTTGATTAGTGATGACAATTACCTGGCCTTGAAGAATGCACATGGCAAATATCTTCTGAATGGACATTTCATTGTCTCTGCGGTGGAAAGGGACTTTATAGTCAAGGGCAGTGTGATCCGCTATAGTGGAACAGGTACAGCAGTGGAAAGTCTCCAGGCCTTTATGCCCATCCAGGAACCCCTGACGGTGGAAGTGCTATCAGTTGGGAAGATGACGCCACCTCGAGTACGCTACTCCTTCTACTTGCCCAAAGAAAGCAAAGAGGACAAGTCTTCCTACCACCGTAAAGATGGGAAGCGTCCTCCGGTCCTCAACAACAGTATTCTCAGCCTGTCCAACCGCCTGGACCTGGGTCAGCTGGATTACAAACGCCCCGCTTACAAATGGGCTACCACCAACTGGGAAGACTGTTCGGTCACTTGCGGCAACGGTCTGCAGAAACGCATGGTGCTGTGTCGCGATGCCCTTGGCCAGCTGGCCTCCTCTTGCGATACCACTCAGAGGCCTGTTGACATCAGGATATGCGGAGATCCATGCCCAACTTGGGAGGCATCTCCCTGGTCCTCGTGCTCCAAAACTTGTGGCAGGGGGTTTAAAAGGCGCATACTGAGATGCACAGGGAGGGGCGGCACCCTGCTGCCCCGCGAACGCTGCAACCTCAGGAAGAAACCACAAGAGTTGGACTTCTGCAGCCTGAGACCTTGCTGATCAGGCTAATTGACCAAAGGCAAATGTGCTACTTTCTGACTCTCGGTGATCAAGTGGCTGAAAGTGTAAAAATAGCCTCTGGGGGGAGGGAGTGGGATCCAGCTGAGTCGAAGGAGGTCCGCTACATAGTGCATTTTGACCAAGGACATTCTAAGAGGGGGGAGAAGAAGAGTACCAATAAGAAGGGGGCTTGATAGAGGTTTTGACCATCTTAGTCACTTAGTAGTAAAGCAGAAGTAAACAACTACCTCGAAATTGCCCAAACCTCCTAGATGTTATCACCATTCAGCCATGTATTCTGTGGCCCTGAAGGAGAAGGCAAGGTCAGAACTGAAAAGCAGCACTATCTTGAGATGGACCAAAGACAAGGAAGGCGATTCCTTAGAGCCATGGCTCTAAATCCTTTCCAAAATAATAATAATAATAATAAAAAGATCTAAAATATAAAAGGGACTCTTATGACCACCCACCTCCTCCTTCAACTCCTAGGGTTATAGTGGACCATAAGGAAGTACCATTGAACCTAGAACAAAGGAATTGTCAGACTTCCATGAGCATAACATGGTACCCCTAAGAAAGTGATCTCCTAGCTCTGATGGAATTGCAGACTCTCTAGACTGATACGGGGTTCATACTTCTGTGCAGGACTAATAACCAGTCACTGATTGGTAGCTACCAATTAACGTTTATGAGCAAATTACATTTTAATGGTGCTGGACCAAATTGCCTCTGAAGTGTTGGCTTTGCCTGCTTCTCATGGTTCGTGCCAAGAGATCTACCATGTTGGGTAAGGTCGAGCTGCATCTTATGTTGCTTAGTGAGCAGGAACGCGTCTTTCGTCTTTTCTTCCCTGCTTTTGTTATTTAAGCCCACATATCTTCCAGAGTCACTGTTTCATGTTAGAATTCGCCCAGTGGGGAAATCCAATTTATTTTTACTACCAGTTTTGTGGGCGTGGCTTGGTGGACATGGTGTCGCTTGGTGGGCATGGCTTGGTGGGCGTGGCAGGGGAAGGATACTGCAAAATCTCCATTCCCTACCCACTCCTGGGGGAAGGATATTGCAAAATCTCCATTCCCACCCCACTCTGGGGCCAGGCAGAGGTGGTATTTGCCGGTTCTCCGAACAGCTAAAAATTTCCGCTACCGGTTCTCCAGAACGTGCTGGATTTCATCCCTGAATTCTCCCATCCACAATACATCTGCAAAATACACATCAACACCTGTAAGAGTAACAGAGTTGGGAGGGACCTTGGAGGTCATCTTGTCCAACTCCGTTGGATTTTGGATTCAGGCCAGGCTAGCTTGGTATGAAAAAAATATGAAAAGGGGATGAACATGATTCTCCCAGGATGATTCGCTGGAGTACTTGAACAAGTAAGGGAGAAAGTATAGTTGTAAGTAATGCCCAACTAATCAAAGAGAGAATCAACCTAGAACTAAGGAGAAATTTCCTGACAATTAGAACAATTAATCAGTGGAACGATTTGCCTCCAGAAGTTATAAATGCTCCAACACTGGAAGTTTTTAAGAAGAGATTGGACAACCATTTGTCTGAAGTGGTTGTAGGGTTTCCTGCCTAGGAAGGGGGTTGGACTAGAAGACCTCCAAGGTCCCTTCCAACTCTGTTATTCTGTTAGATTGACCAACAATCTTATCTGTAATACAGAAGCAGCCTCTGTCATCCTGTGCTGAAAACCTATTATGGTGATATTGCACCTAAATGTTTCCTATATAAATTCTGTAAACTAAAATTGAATTGTTAGAATAGCTGTTGTTTTGCAACCTGGGGAGTATGTGAAAAAATATAGTTCCCATCTCATGAAAAGCAGAATATTCCTGGATATTATAGACATCTTAAAGGGTAGTATTTGGTGCGTACCTTCCCATAAGATAGACCAGGTGGGAATGCAGTCCTATCAGTGGTGGGATTAATTCATTTTTTACTACCGGTTCTGTAGGCGTGGCTTGGTGGGCTTGGTATGGCTTGGTGGGCATGGCAGGGGAAGGATACTGTAAAATCTTCATTCCCACCCTACTCCAGGGGAAGGTTACTGCAAAATCCCCATTTTCTCCCCACTCCTGGGGGAAAGATATTGCAAAATCCCCATTTCCTCCTGATCAGCTAGGACTCGGGAGGCAGAGAATAGATGGGGGCGGGGCCAGTCAGAAATGGTATTTGCCGGTTCTCCGAACTACTCAAAATTTCCACTATTGGTTCTCCAGAATTGGTCAGAATCTGCTGAATACCACCTCTGAGTCCTATAGCTCATCCTAAGGCAAAGCAGGACAGGACAAATGATACGTGAAGTGAAACTATATCCAGAGTCAAGGGCCCGTGTAATCTTAGGGTTGTTGGTTTAGGAGGCAGTCTCTACATCTTCCTTTGGGGACACCAGACAATATTCTTAGGCAGCTGCCAGGATTTCTTATAGCAATCATTATATTAGCCTTTGGCGATCTAAGGACAAATTAATAGGCTATTCCTATTATCTGCAGGTGAAAACAGCCGTTGACAATGCTCCAGAAGACAGTCCAATTTCCATGTGAAAGAGAATAGACATGTCTATGTTGTTTGTGTCAGTGATCATTCTTTTACAGCTGCTCTCCATGCCTTCCAAGAGAGTTTGAATTCTGAGGTAAAATGCATTGGAGCTTTGAACTACAGATGCCCTTTGAAACCTTCAGGAGAAAGCCATCACAGTGGAATATCAGATAACACTTAACAAGTCCTGAAATGGAAGAACTTTGGCCTTAGGGAGTTTTCATCCCTTAATGTTTTGGTCCTGGATTTATTTCAAGCGAAGCCTGATCCTTGATGGCAACCCCAACAAGCATCACTGTTTGTGTTTCCACATCCTGTGGGTTTGATATCTGTGGATTCTCTAACAGTAGTAAGCATCCCCCACCCCCACCCCAAAATGCACACGTTGAAGTCTGGAGTAGAAATAAAAAACCAAAGTCTTCTCTAGTCTCCAATGTGTATCTTGGTGAAAGACAAGTTATGCTAGAGCTTCTAAATCTTTAAATTCTTCCTCCAGGTTTTTCACGCCTTCCCCAAAAATAATCACGGGCTTCTTTTCAGCCGCATGTAGTGAAGAGAGGAACTGGGGTTTTCGAAATGGTGCTTCTGATAATGAGGTTTTTTTTTGTTTTCTATTTTTGAATAGGATTTCTATTTACAAAAAACAGGACCATTCCTCTCTCTCTCTCTCCTTCAAGAATGTTTACAAGTTTTTTTTTTTTAAAGAACTGTGTTATACTCACAAAACCATGAGCAAAGATAACGGGGGCTTATGTTCTACGAGGCCATATCCAAATCTGTTGAAATGGCTCCATGGAAACCAATAGATTTATTTTAGAGAAGCAGAATTAGACCAGTGGTGAGATTCAGCCAGTTCGCACCTATTCGGGAGAACCGGTTGTTAACTTTCTAAGCAGTTTGGAGAACCGGTTGTTGGAAGAAATCTCATTTTGTTTTTTTCCCACTTTACAGGGCTAATCCTGTAAGGAAGGTAGGAAGGAAACATTCTGGTGGTGTTTCTAGCCTGATCTTTATTGCCCTGCTTACAGAAACTGCCTCTCTGCTTAGCCCTTATTACATTGTAACAGCTAAGGCGAAGCGCCCATTGATGTGAGTGACATGGAGTTGGCCATGCCCACATGATCACATGACCACCGAGCCATGCCTACCCAGCTGGTCATTAGGGCAGAGAACCGGTTGTTAAATTATTTGAATCCCACCACTGAATTAGACCTTTTATGGGAGGGCTTCTCCTGACCTTTTAGATCCGTGATGGCGAACCTAGGGAATGCGTGCCCGAAGTGGCACATGGAGCCATGTCGCTTGGCATGTAAGGTGTTGAACATTCCTCTTCTGGGTTTCTGGCGTGCATGCGCATGCGACGATCAGCTGGCCTTTTTCATTTGGTAGTGCCAGAAACTAGAAGACCCGAAAAGGTTCGCCATCACTGTTTTAAGATGGTAGAAAGAAGAATTATGAAGATTCATTGGCCAATAGTGTAGTGTGTAGAATGGTAAATTTCTGGACTGGACAGAATTTTTTGTTGTTGTCCTTCTTCTCTAGTGGTACTGTAATTCCAAGGTGCTTGACTGCTGTTATTTCTAGACCTTTGTATAGAATTTAGGTAAAAATGTTTTTGAAGGGTTTAAAATTAATCTGTGGAGTCCAAACCAACAGATTAATTTCTCATGCTTCCAGCACACACTTTTATGTGAAAGCATTCAGATTGAAAATATCAACCCTGTTACATTTAAGAAGTTCTTTGAAATTTTATCAATTTAATGATCATTTTCCGAGGGAATTCAGCTACTTTCTAAAAATTAACTATCTGATTTTACTAAAAAAAAAAAAAGGGGGGGGGGGAGGCTATGGCACGAACTTGAGCAAGGTTGCTATTGGTGCAGACTTGAGTTCATTGCTCTTGGGTTTTTTTCCCCCCCGTTTCTTTTGACAGCTAACCTGGTATAAATATATGTTTTTTGGTATGGATATGTCCTTGAGTATGTTAATAATTCCAGTGGGTCTCTAGGGATGAGAAATTCCAGAAAGTACTATCTGTCCGCTGTAAATGTCCGCTAAATAGGAAAGTAAGGTTGCGTAACAGGTTGGCTTTAAAACCCGTTTCAGAGCTTCTTCTTCTTCTTTTTTTTATTTAGATGTCACTTGTCAAATTTGCAGCTGGTCTTGGTCACTATTACTTGGTTATTCAATTGGCTCCTGGGGCATAATCAATCATGGCCTGTCTCTATGTGTCATGCTGGTTATGACACACTTCCACATGCAAAGGAAGCATGAGTCACTGAATATTTATGGGAACATGGGGCTGTGGGACCAGTTGGTGTGGTGGACTTCTTCCAGCGATGGCTGTTCTAAGGCTCTGAGCGTCAGATGCTTAAAGAACAATGTCAAAGATTCTGAGGCCTAACTAATCTTCCAGATAGATGTATTGGCTCCCACCAGCTCATAAAAATTCACACTTCCTCTTATTGTCAAGTCGGTTTCTGGTTCTGATTACACCACAAGCTTTTGTCCATTTTAATTTTTTTTTTATGATCCTGCCAAGGCTTTCTCTAAACGATTCCGGAGTCGGTAGGGTAAAGAGACATTGTGAAATCCATTGCTCCCATTATTTAGAGAAAAGGGGGATGACTAAATCCATTTAATTCTATGGTGTACAATTATCTCTAAGGAAAGCAAACGGCAGACGGTGGAAGGCGACCGTCTTCCTCCTATAAATATGGCGTGCGTACTTGTGTTTGTGTGTATGTGGACTGTTTAAGAATCCTAGGAATTGTAGTTTGGCAAGGGTAATGAGAAATGTCAGTAAGAAGTTACAGTTCTCCACACAAACAGCTATGTTTCCCAAGTTCTCTTGGGGAGAAGAAACAGCTGTTCAACTAATTTAGGTTTCTAGTTATGTCCACCAACTCAACTGTTTTGTCTTTCCTTGTCCCAAAAGCTTTGCAGATGTGTTTATATTTGGGGGGAGGTTCAAATGCTAAACGATTTCTTCACACAAATACCCTGCCTATTATACACCTGAATCACGATGTAATTATTGTTCGCAGAGGGATCTCGTTTCTTTAGATTGATAAATGTGTCAGTGTCAAAGATTTTGCCCTTATCACTCATCTTGTAAAAATGTAGGCATCTATTTTCCCTGGTTAAGATGAGTTGTGATTACATTCCATTTTGTCTGTGGAAATCCTTAGTCATCTAGGTCATGGTTGTCCCAAAAGTTGTTTTTCAAAAGGCAATTGGACTTTGTTTTTTTTTTCCTTGAAGACATTTCACTTCTCATCCAAGAAGCTTCTTCAATTCTGACTCGAACAGAAGAAGCTTCTTGGATGGAGAAAGGAAACGTCTTCAAGGAAAAACAAAGTCCCAGTTGCCTTTTGAAGAAAGCATCTTTGGGGACATTCCATTCCATCGAATTCTGAAATTTGGAATTCAGGGCTGAAGAGCCAAAAGAGTTTGAGAAAATCTTAAATATTAAAAAAAAAATAGGGGGGAATATCCTACAATGCAAATATAGATTAAGCACAGACCTCAAGCGGAATGTTGATTCCGCCAGGACGGATCTGATTGGATGTTTTTAAAGATTTCTCCTCCCCTTTTATTCATGGATTGGCCTATCATGTTTCTCCCCTTTTATTCATGGATTGGCTTCTCATTGCCTTAAACTTTTCACTTCCACAACAGTTGCGTCTCGTTAAACTATATAGCACTGAAGTCCTTGTGTTGGTTCTGGTGATATTGGGGAGAGGACTGCTTTTAATTGTATGTGGGTTTTAAATAGTTCTTTTGCAAAATATACAGCAAAAGGATGGAAATGCCTCTGGTACTGGGTGCTTGGTGTATACCATGTATACTGTATGTCAGTTTTTTGCTATTTGTGTGTCAGTGGCAAACCTGAAATAAAAATGGTTAAATATTTAAAGAGTTTCGTCTTTTGTGATACGATTTGAGTCCTGCTTTCAATAATCCTACCAGCATTAAATTGAAATATGACCTTATTACTCAACTTATGAAAGTTATTTTGAATCTACTGGAGGAAGGATGGAATCAGAAGGGGTCTGGTAGCCCCCTTTTAACTAATAAGTTTTTATTAAAAGGCATTTCGCTTCCAAGAAATTGTGAATTCTAGTCCTGCCTTAGGCACAAAGCCAGATGGGTGATCTGGGGCCAGTCACTCCCTTCTCAGCTGTAGGAAAAAGGCAATATCAAACTATTTCTGAAAAACCTGGCCAAGAAAACATCTGGGAATAGTCCAGGCAGTTGCCAGAAGTCAAATCTGACTTGAAGACTCTCTCCTCATTGCAAATCTAGTGGATCTACTTTGCTCTGTGAGCCAAGGTGTAGGATGCCATGTGCCATATCACAAGCTCTTTCATTCATTCAGTGGACTGGCAATGGTCCAATGAGAATGCTACATTCTCATTTTATTTCTTTTGATGATAAATATTTAAATTTTATGGTCATCTTTAAAAATGTTGAAAGGATGTCACGGACATATAATGGCTGGTATCCTTCCTTCCTTCCTTTCTAACTTCCTCCCTCCCTCCCTCCCTCCCTCCCTCCCTCCCTCCCTTTTTATTTTCTAAGAATGCTTACAAAGTCTGGGGTCCAGCAGCAGTTTGGGAAATAAAGTTAATTTTACAGATTTGTGCTTCCTATTTTTTTTTTAAAAAATACAAATACATAAGGATAAAATTTTCCATGTCCAGTTGTGGAAGCCAGTGTTGTCCAAAGACATTTTCTATGGTCAAGTGTCCAGCATAACTATACACCAAAGATACACAAAAATGCTGTTACCTTCTCACCGAATTGGTACCTATTAATCTACTCGCGTTTGCATGCTTTCGAACTACTAGATGAGCATACGGTGGCACAGTGGTTAGAATGCAGTACTGCAGGCTACTTCTGCTGACTGCCAGCTGCCTGCAATTTGGCAGTTCAAATCTCATCAGGCTCAAGGTTGACTCAGCCTCCCAGCCTTCCGAGGTGGGTAAAATGAGGTCCCAGATTGTTGGGGGCAAGAGGCTGACTCTGTAAACCGCTTAGAGGGGCTGTAAAAGCACTGTAAAGCGGTGTATAAGTCTAAGTGCTGTTACTATGCTATTTACATATACACATGTATACAGACATATAAATACCCCCCCACACACACAAACACATGAAATAGTTGAAAAGCTTAATGGCATTGAGAAAGCATCTGAGAGCACAGTGAGAGCTGGCAACTCTTTGGGATGAATTCACTAATTAAAAGTCTTTCCAGGAGGATCTTAACAGGAAAATGACACCATTAACTATCAGCAACCACAGTGGAATTCAACTCCTCCACCCGCTGAGTCGTATTGGAGGCATTGCAAAGTGAACCAATCCAGATTCCTTCCATTTCTCTCCCCCCCCCCAGGATGCCTTGTGTGACTTCATCCATTCATTGGAAGTCCTTATCAGGGCCAACCTTGGAACTAAATGAGCAGCCTAGCCCCTTGTGGCTCCCCCTCCTCTTTTGTTCAATTGTCTCAAATGTGTCTCTAGTGAGAGGGTTGTCGAAAGAAAAATAAAAGTTGTGCCAGGACATATTGTTCTCCTGACTGATTTTTATTTTTTATTTTTTTAAAAAAAGATTCTTCTCTTCCAAAGAAATAAAGAGGTTATCATATCATGATTTTTTTTTTCTGGCAACTTTGTCAACTTCTAAATTTGGCTGGGAAAAAAACACATTTGTGTAAAAGTGGTATTATTACCCTGTTTCCCTGAAAATAAGACCTATCCCGAAAATAAGCCCTAGCATGTTTTTTATGCACCGTATTTTTCAGAGTATAAGACACACCTTTCCCCCCCCCAAAAGGGGGTGAAAATTTAGGTGTGTCTTATACACTGAATGTAGCCCCGCCCACCCACTGGCCCTCACCCTTTGGCCTCTGCCTCCCAGCAGTTACCTCCTTGCAGCAAGCAGCAAGAAGAAACAGTTCCTTTTAGCTTCAGCACAGCTTAATTAGCACAATTTGATTGTCCATTGGATCGGCCTCCCGCCTCTCAGCTGTTTTGCTCTCAGCTGTTTTGCCCGGGCCTCTGCTGCTTGCTACAAGGAGATAAATTGCTGGAGCAGATTTTTTCTTTTCTTGTGCTTATCAAGCTATCCTGAAAACGAAAATGAAAGTAAAGCAGGCTGTTTGCTGCTTGCTGCAATGAGGCAAAATTGCTGGGAGGCAGATTTCTTTTTCTTGTTTTCCTCACCAAAAAAGGCAGGTGGGTCTTATAGTCCGGTGTGTCTTATACTCCGAAAAAGATGGTATGTGCCTAATATAAGCCCTATCCCCAAAATAAGCCCTACTTAAGAGCCTGCACAACCAGCCTCCTGCCCCACTGTGAGCAAGCAAAAGTGGGCTTCCTGTACATGGGGAAAAAAAATAACATACCCCCTGAAAATAAGCCCTAGTGCTTATTTTGGGACCCAAAAGGAAATAAGACCCAGTCTTCTTTTCGAGGAACATGGTATTTTCAATCATGGCCCTCTCTGCCAAACTCTCCAAGGCTAAACCCAGAAAGCAATGGATGGATTTGAATTCTACCAAAAATAAACCCCCTTCCTCTTGATGCTTCATTTTATTGAGCCAATGGGTTTGATGAAAAACACATGGCTCAGACTTTGCTCCAAGTGCTACGAAGAGGGATGCACGGTGGCAGCAAAAGGATATGTGCCACAGACGTAAATGGTTCCAGCCTCAGACCTGGCGTTGTCTATTAAAAGATGACAAGGCTGAGAAGAATTCTGGAGACGAATATTCATCTGGCCAGAGGTTTGTGGAGTAGACAACTTGAATCTTAACATAAGTAAGATGATCTGTTCTGGGCTGCAAATCTCAGATCAGTCACTAGTGTCATCGTTCTGAGTAATGAACTCAGGGAAATCAGGACTCTGACATTTCGTTCAGGTTCAAGAGATCCTTTATTGAGTATATCATATTGGCACTTAGAAAGGTGAAACTAGCTCTAAATTATTCCTGTCCACCCCCTATTGTCTCTCAGGTCACATGGGCCATCAGTCCAGATGTAGGTTCCCACTCAACTTTGACAAGTGTCCGTTAAAATGACGTTGGTTCACACACTGTCTAGTAGATGTTATGGCTAGCCAGCTGAGGCACCACATTCCTGAGTTCCCTCCCCCCACATGCTCTCCCCCCTCCAATATTAATGGCAACCAAGAAACGAATAGAAGTAAGCATGGCATCAGCTGAAGTCATTTTGCAGGTTGACAGCTAGAGGGCAACCGAGTTGAGTTGTTGGTGCTTCTTTGCTGCCATCTAGTAGTCACCTAGAGTTTTGCAGCCCACATACGGTGGACCAAGAAGACAGTTGTGATAACTTCTTAGCCTATAGATAATAGGAAAAGCTGATCTGTGCTTGAAACAAGTTTCAAAAGCCACGACCTATTCCCCATAAATACTGATGATGTTACCTAATTCATTGGATAATGAAACATTGGCAAGAAAACAACCAAGCTCAGAGAGCACCAAGGACCCTGTACATACTGTCATACTCAAAACTGATAGCGTCTGTGTCATCGCTCTGAACAATGGAACCATTCAGTCTACCAGCCTGACCAAGCTTTCTTTCAGCCTAGAAGAGCAATGATGGTGAACCTTTCTGGCACTGAGTACCGAAAAGGTCATGCGGAAATGTAGCTCATTGGGGCTGCGCTCCGGAAAAGCCGAACTTCCAGGTTCTAGTGCTCATGTGCACCCGATGATCAGCTGGCTGGCATGCATGCCCAGGCCAGTTTTCGGCATTGCTGTGTGCGCGAAAGGATCATGCTCCAGAAAAGCTGAACGTCCGGGTTCTGGCGTGCATGCACACCCGACAATCAGCTGGCTGGCCTGCATGCGCACATCAGTTTTCAGCACTGCCGCACGCGTGAAGGACAGCTGATCGTAGCATGTGCATGCATGCCAGAAACCTGGAAGACAAACAGGTAAGGCCGCGCGTGCCAGGCGACATGGCTTTGTGTGTCACTTTGGGAACGCGTGCCATAGTTTCACCATCACGGGCCTAGAGAGCCCTCTAATTCAGTGCTACGGTTTTATTTTTTTTCATCTTTAAATGGCCCATCCTGCTCTTCTTCTCCTTCCAAGAATAAAAGACACAGTTTTGCTTGGGCTCTTTGCAGCACACCCAATTTCTTGTGGTCCATAGCAAAATGGAATAATTGCCCAGTGTCACCCCCTTAATAAGGGCAGGCTCTTGAAAGAATGGAGAGACAGACAGACAGAGAGGCCGGGTAGGAGGACTGCCTCTAAAGGCAAGGGAATCCAGCGGATGGGAAAAAGAAAGGAGAACAATGGGAGATGTGGGTGGTCTCTCAACCAACCCACCAAGGCTCGGGGCTGCTGAGTCGGAGAGGGCTATAGCGAAAGGAAGAGTGATTTTTCTGGGAGGGCTGTTTTGCAAAAAAAAAAAAAACAGCTGACTGGCAGTTTTGCAGTTGGTTAAAAAGAAGCTAGTTAGGCTTAAGGGTAAAATGCACGGATCGTCTCCTTTATGAGTACGTGTACAATGACTCTCTTAAGTTCCAAAACATGTTTTATTATTGCTTAAACCCTTGCTAATTTATTTCGCATTGGCCCTGGGCAGACACGAGGTGGTCTGGAGTTCATTGTGGGTAACTTGGACAATAATGAAAGCTTGGCATTTTTTTTCCCCCTTCCATCCCCGCCCTAATTCAGGCCTGCATTTTTGCCATGCCTGTTTGTTAATTGGGGTTTTCTGATGTTCCATATATTGCCTGTTGATTTTTTTTCCTGGGCTTACAAGATACTGCTAGATGGGCAGGTGGAACCCATGTCCAGGAGAGTCTAGTACCACTTTTTTTAACAGATTAACAGAGTCGGAAGGGACCTTGTAGGTCATCTAGTCCAACCCCCTGCTCAGGCA